TCTTTTATCAACGAATGGTGGGATTGACCGTCACATTATAACACACCCACTGCTAAAGGGCAAGCATGTTTGGGGGAATGGGGATTCGAACCCGCGACCCGCAGATTGCGAGTCGAGTGCCCTAACACCTGGCCATGCCGGGCCTAGAGAAATAGTACTTACACATATTTTACTTTTTAACAAAACCAAATAAATCAATTTTCTGGCCTTGAAATTGGACTGCAACTAAATTAAACGAACTGCGAAAGTTTGGAATTTAGTGTTTTTTTTAGATTAGGAAAAGTGTAATAATACGATATTCAAGTTTAGGATGTTTTATTAAAAATACTGCATAATTTAGTTTTGTTCTTTCTAGACTGAGAAACTTGTTTAAATCAGAAATATGTTTTAACAAAAATAAAGGAGCTTTATAAAGTTATTTTTTGTCTTAACAAATATGAATTTTTTTTTTATATATATATTTAACCTGATATTTACTTTTTATAAAATTAAAGGATTCTAAGCCCCCCCCCCCCAATGGCACAGCGGCATGTCTGCGGACTTACAACGCTAGAAACCGGGTTTCGATACACGTGGTGGGCAGAGCACCGATAGCACATTGTGTAGCTTTGTGCTTAATTCTAAACAAACAAACAAACCAATATTAAATTAACTACTAAAGTTTTATTTTTAGTCCTATCAAAATTACAATAGCCGCGTAAATCTGGTAGTTAATTTTATATCAGAATAACTTTTTTTGCCTAGTATTTAGTTTTAAAACTAACTGTTCAAACCAGATTTTAAGTTTACTAAGTTGTTGTTGAATTTAAAAATAAATTTTGCGCTAAGCTACACAAGGGTTATCTGTACATTGCTGTCCTTAGTTTTGAACTTGTAGACTACAAGTGAAAACAGATAGTCAACAGCGCCCCAACCAACTTTTGAGATACTCTTTTGCTGGCTGAATAGTTGAATTTGCCTATCATTTTTATAACCAATATACGGCCTCAACGTGGGGAACGCATTTTTGCAGCAACGGGACGCGAACCATGAACTACTTGCATTCTGATTCCACTAAGCACGAGTCCATGCTAGACCAAGTTTTAACAAGACCAGAAAATAACTGCTTAACTTATATTTGATTTTATTTAGACCAGAAGAACTGTTTAAATGTCAATTTAATTTTGTCATGCTGTATTGAAACGAAAATTGGAAGCCACATATTTATTTAGTTTTTACTAATGTTAAAGAACTTTCAAGTAAAGTTGTAAGTAAAATGTTACAACTAACGCAAAGTTTTTAGTATGTTGACCAATAAAGTTAAGGCATTTGTATGTTACACAGCTGCTATGTTTTAGGATAGTTTACCTCGATAATATATATTTACAAATTTGTCTAAATGACCATCTAATAATACTTAATATTTTTTCTAACGCTGTGAAAAACAAAACAAAAACGCATGGTCTATTAGTGAACAGAAAAGTGTTGACGCAGAAATGCTTACAACTAACGATACTACCAAACATTTCTACTTGTCACTAAAACAGTCGACAACAACAACAAATTACTGTAATATAATTCAATAAATGTAAAGACGTGTTTGTAAACAAGTTGGTAGCGGGAACAGAAGTGCGAGACTACATTTGGCCGACCTATGAAGTGTATTGATCTTGCTCGATATGAAAGACGGCGTGCTGAAATGTGGTACATAAAATCCGAACTCTACAAGTTGCGCAAGTAGCGGAACTTTAAGTAACACAATAAAGAAAGCCCACGAGTATAACAGACATGGAACTACCTTAATGCCTTACAGCACACCATAAGCACGTATAAACGTAAGACGTGTTTCGTGTTTAGGATTACTACATGCTTGAAATCCTGTACTTTATTTACCAAAACAGTCGTTCATAAACTGTCTTGTTCACCACACCTTACTTACGAGAACAGTCGTTCAAAAACTCTCTTGTTCACCACACCTTACTTACAAGAACAGTCGTTCAAAAACTCTTGTTCACCACACCTTACTTACAAGAACAGTCGTTCAAAAACTCTTGTTCACCACACCTTACTTACAAGAACAGTCGTTCAAAAACTCTCTTGTTCACCACACCTTATTTACAAGAACAGTCGTTCAAAAACTCTCTTGTTCACCACACCTTACTTACAAGAACAGTCGTTCAAAGTTTTTGTTCACCACACCTTAGTTACAAAAATAGTCATTCAAAGCTTTCTTGTTCCCCACGCCTTATTTACCAGAATAGTTATTCAAGTCTTTTTGTTCACCACATCTTATTTACTGTAATAGTTGTTCAAGACTTTCTTGTAAATTACATGTAATTTACCAAAATAGTCTTTCAAGTTTCTTTGTTCACCTTGCCTTTATTTAAGAAAATAGTCGCTCAAGGCTTTCTTGTTCACCACACCTAATTTACCGGAAGAATCGTTCAAAGCATTCTGACAACCTCCTTACCAGAATAGACATTGACAACTTTCTTGTTAATTTTTTCTCAAATTAGCCATTTAGACAAAGAATATTATTAGATGTTGTTTTTGTATTTATTTACCTGCTTATTGTAAGTATATGCTAATCTCAATTTGTTTGTTATACTCATTGATAACGATTTATATTGTCAGTTGTTGCTTCTTCAAATTATTTGGTGACTATTATAGTCAGTTTTTGCATAATAAATTTCACTGATGTTTGGTAAAGTCATTTAAGGCTTAAACTGGTAACTAACCTCTTTAGTGTGGTTAAACTGGTAATTAACCTCTTTATTGTAGTTAAACTGGTAACTAACCTCTTTAGTGTGGTTAAACTGGTAATTAACCTCTTTATTGTAGTTAAACTGGTAACTAACCTCTTTAGTGTGGTTAAACTGGTAATTAACCTCTTTATTGTAGTTAAACTGGTAACTAACCTCTTTATTGTAGTTAAACTGGTAACTAACCTCTTTATTGTAGTTAAACCGGTAACTAACCTTTTTATTGTGGTTAAACTGGTAATTAAAACTACAATAAAGAGGTAACTGGTAATTAATTTCTTTATTGTAGTTAAACTGGTAATTAACCTCTTTATTGTAGTTAAACTGGTAATTAACCACTTTATTGTAGTTAAACTGGTAATTAACCTCTTTATTGTAGTTAAACTGGTAATTAACCTCTTTATTGTAGTTAAACTGGTAATTAACCTCTTTATTGTAGTTAAACTGGTAATTAACATCTGTATTGTTTTTACCGCCTGTGTCATATTATAGATAAGAATTATTAGACACTGAGTGTAACTAATGAGGATTGTTATCGTTTTCCTCAAACTTCACCTAAACCACACAAATACTGACTTAGTTGTGTTTATTACTGTAAGACTTTTAAACCAACTTTATTCTTCTAAAGAATTAATTTGTAATTAGTAACAAATACTCACTTGAAAATCCAAAAAGATGCCCATCAGCCCAGTCGTAATAGTTTTCATGTTCAATGTCGTTGGCTCCGATCCAGAACGCATGCGTGTGGCCATACAAAGAACTAATGATAAAAAATGAATATCTATCACATTATATTGAAACAATTTTAAGATAATCACATATTTACTTAATAAGTCTCAGGTAAAAGTGTGAAATAATACTTGATTTATTTGCAAGTTAATAAACTCTGTAACTGTTTTCAGTGAAACGGTTTTTCAATAACAAAGAAGAAAAACCGTTTCTCTAAATGAAATAAGAAGAAGGTAATCAACATATTGATTAACTCCTAGTATAAGCAACACAGATATATATATATTTTCTTGACATGTTATTCCGTACAGATATGTTCGTTTGTTTATAAGTTCAGGCAAAGCTACATCAGGGCTACCTTTGCAGGTCATTCCTCATTTTGAGCTTGTAGACCAGAAAGAAGATAGCTAGTCAACAGCATTCACCACCAACTGTTGGGTTACTCTGATCGAACACTTGGATTTTACCATCACTGTTATAACGAATCCTTGGCCCCAAAGTGTCTTAGCCATCTGTTACAAAAATATTTCGCGCTTGTTGCGTCTTCATTACTTCTAAGACCGTTATAAAGTGCTCTCCAATGGTTTGGAGATGAACAATTCATTGTTGCAATACGCGTCTGGCTAGAAAGCGTAAACACTTCTTAGGATTTTAGTCTCAGCATACTTGATTCTTTACATGTGTAAACTATACCATTAGATAAAAATTTGTAAAAAAACAAAGCCTTTTAAATATTCTCAGCAAAGAATGTTGCAAAATACAGCAATAACCTGATAATGTATCTAGATGTAAATTTATTAAATATTCACGAAACTACAGGTATATATTATATTTTATTTCGTTCGTTTTGGGCGATAATTCCCATTTTACGTTTTAGAAAAGAGGAAACGATTTTCGATTAAGTGATGTTATGGATTAAGTCCATAATGCATGCAAAAGGATTGATTTTGCGAAAAAGTTTCACATTTTTTGTTATCAATAATGTTAAAAGTAACGAGTTGACTGGTTTGCAGCTTTTCTGAAATTAATTTTATTAGGTGTTCAGAAACGTATTCAGGATCATTAAAGTTGGTATAAATATAATCTACACACCTATTTCAATGACACTGTACAACAGATCAACACACACGGTAATGTGTTGTGCGGCCAAAGCAACCTGCTGCAGGACACACGGTGTGTTATTACCAGGAGTGATAGTTTAGCGATTTTCCATATTTTATATCTCGGACTGTGATAATCCAAGCTATCACATATTTTTAGTGGACATGCTCTACTGGACTCTTACTTCACCTAACAAATTTCAAGGCAATCCATTATAAAATACCCGAGATACAACATTAATAATTTTGATTGAGTTTCTTCCTGTATTTTTCTTCGCAACAAAATTACAGAAACTTTATTTGATAGAAAAACACAGGTAACTTCTATGGATTTTTTTTTAATTTGGTAAACTGATAGATCTTTTCAACCTACAATTAGGAGCCTCATTTGTTGTAAGTATAAGCCACGTGTGCAAATTTATTCAACAAAAGCTGCTCAAATTCGACGAAACTTTTTGCGCACGACTACGCAAAAAGTCGCGTGAACTATCAATTAATATTTTTATTACAACCTCATCCAAAAGAAAAAGTGGACAGTTTTTAGTGTTTTTTTATCATTCGGATTAAAGACGGCTGATTTAAAGCAGCAAAACTATAAGATGAAAGGACGTGCAGATACACGAGTATTGGTTAGGCCAAGCAAACTAGATTAGCAGTTTCTGGTTCAAGTTTTCAAAAGAATAATACGGGTGAACGGTTATTATTCATTGCCAACTTTTCAGCACAGATTTACTAAATTTTATGAAATCATCCCAATTAAAAAGAGTTTAGTGTCCTATTAGCTTAAGCAATTAGCGCAAATAATAGTGCTTGATACGGCTGTTGTCACCTTGTTTGTTTGTTTGTAATTAAGCACAAAGCTACACAATGGGCTATCTGTGCTCCGCCCACCACGAGTATCGAAACCCGGATTCTAGCGTTGTAAGTCCGCAGACATGCCGCTGTGCCACTGGGGAGGGGGCGTGTCACCTTGAAGCATGTTAAAAAATGATTCTATGCACTATGAAATTAAATTAACCTAAACAAGGATAAAAATCTTTGTTATGGGTAAAGATTACATTTGAAAATTAAATCAGCCAAGATAGCACCAAATACATTTTTACATACTGTTTATTCTGATACAGTTGTATTTCAATTATGTTGATCATAATTTTATAATAGTAAAAGGAAAGTGTAAGATTGAGAAGTAAAATTTGTTTTACCACTTAAAAGCCCCCCAGTGGTACAGCGGTATGTCTGCGGACTTACAACGCTAGAATCCGGGTTTCGATACCCGTGGTGGGCAGAGCACAGATAGCCCTTGTGTAGCTTTGTGCATAATTAAAAAAACAAACAAACCACTTAAAAAAATTATAATTTCAACATTATATTTTAATTTTCGAGAAGTTGTTCGTACTACTCCAATAAAATCAATAAAGGATCAAAATTGAATTAAATTCTTAAAACAACTATTGTTTTGGCCACAATTTTAGAAATAAGCAGAGAGAATTTCAGTTTTCCAGAAAAGTTATATAAAAATTTAATTATCAAACTTATATAAGAAATAATGTAACATCGATTGACACTCCAGATATATAAATAAAATATAAATTACTTTAAGTGATAGTACTAATTGAATATGTAAAAAGGGATCAAGGGTATATCAAAATCAGAAAAAAAAATCATTTCAGAGGTGTCCAATTTTAAAAAAAAAGATGGACTTGAAACTCAAATCTGGTATCTGGGTATATGTTTTGTTTAGTTGTAGTTGAGTTATCTGTGTTCTGTCCATCTCGGGGTTCGAAATCCAGCTTTTAGCGTTATAAGCTTTCAGATTTACCGTTATGTCATTGAAGGGGGGGTGGGTGCATTTGAATAAAAGACCACCAGCAGCTTCTTGTGGTATTGTTACAGCACATTCAGAACGATGTCCTTCTAGACCAATAGGTTCTAACCTTGGCATTTATAATAACGTTATTTAAGTTATGCTGGTTAATTTTTTTCAAACTATCCACTAATATGGAAGAGACTTACAAACAGTTTGACTTTTCACGGGTAAGACAGGGATCATGATAAAGAAAGTATACTGATGATACTTTTTCTACCCATAGTGATACTATATTTATATTTCAGTCTCTCAATAATTTTACGTTAGAACCTCGGCTAGGCAATCAACCTTATTTTGTTTTTAAGGGTAAGGTTTTACAAAGTATGCTAAAGTCTTTATTTTGGTAGCTTAACAGACAAGCCGCTTTTAAGGGGAAGATAATCTAATTTATTCACTATACATCTGAAGTAACAAGTACCCACGTATGCATGCATTGATAACATTATCTTATTGTTTAAAGGAAGCAGTACAATTTTAAGGCTCGTAGTAACATATTCAAAGTAACTAGTGTATTGAAATTACAACAGCTCGAACAAAACTAAAACGACTGCGCGCCGTGCGGCCAACAGTTAGCTAACAAAATTTTATTATCTAACCAAGACTTTGAGATTGAACACATGTGTATATAAAAAGTAAGCTAGTAAATTGCATCAGTGGTTAATGTTACAATATGTGATAAACTGATATGTAGATGAAAACATTTTGCTATTACTTTACTTAGTATGTACGTCTGTTTTGTTTTTCATTTCTGAAAGAAAAACTTTCAACATGCTCTTTACACATAGTTTTATTATTATTACTTTTTATACTCGGAAAATCTTACTACTATTGTTTTTCATAGTCTTTATCTTTAAATGTGTTTGGTTATAAATATGAACTTTTTTTTTTGTTGCAGAACTACTTATATTGGCATCAGTAACTTTATAGCTTTTGTTTAGTAGAAAAACTTACTCAATGACACACACACACAAGATAGTAACTAGTTAAGAAACATTTACATTGTATCTTGTATCAGTGACGTTAACGTACCTGGCTTTAATCAATAACTCTAGAAAAGACTGGATATCGTTTGAGGACGTTGTCGCCAGATGACCTCCTTGACTCAAACAATGACCGTTTGCTGACCACCAGTTTAGGTTCTGATGCACGAGCTGATAACAATAATCTTCGTTTTCAGACCAGGGGTAACCACAGAACGTACCGAGTGGATTGATAGAAACTGTTTGGAAGTCAATACAAAACCCCTTGGCTCCATTAATTAACGTCGGAACAGCATTCAGGTTAACTGTGATGTTGGTATAGCTGTTGGACTGAAAGGAGAAACCTTGGTTTGTGTTTTCAGATGTTATTCCACATAGCCTTACCACTTGTTCTTCACTCGAGATTTCAATAAACTCCTCTACGCAGTCGGATCTTGACGTTACAGAAGACAAAGAAGTTTCCAGAAATGTCAATTGTACGTGAAGTTTGTATCCTAAAGGCACATAAAAAGCATAAAGGCAACTTTGCTCAGTCATAAAGGAATAAGGATAATCTTCACTACACAAAGAACCGTTTTCTTGCTCTATTGTTATGTTTTCACAGGGTTTTATAGAACGATATTTGAAAAGAAAACCCTTCCCTCTAGACACATGTAAATGCACAGTTAACGTTTCACGTTTCGAGACAAGATATTCTCTTGAGCCAACAGACTTTCCACAGAGGAACACTTCTCTCTGTTCTTTTAGTGGGAAAACGCGAACGTAATTTTCGTTACATATACCTTCGGTATTTCTACTATACATATCGAGGTTCGTGACAGATATGACAATTCTCAACCCTACAGTCGCTTCGATGTTGTAGTAACAATCCAAACCAGGTGGGTATTTCTCTGGAAAGTTTGGACTTGTTAAGATTCCCTCTACTGCATCTACGGTGATGTTACATCCTGAAAAATAGAATTTTCTAAGTACAAAACTGAAGAGCCCCATTACACCTAATTAGCTTTAAAACGGTGTTAATGTGCGTTTAATAGCCCTGAAATTCAACCAGCGAATTAAATCTGATAATTCACTTATCAACTAACCAAAATTTAGCACCTCTAATCTGCTATTTGAATATAAGTGAATTTACTGTATTATATATTATCTGACTAAAACAGTTCAACTACGTTATTTTGGTATCTGCGTATTCAATGAGTTGGGTCAACTATTATCTGACTTATTAGGTCAAAGACCTAGATTCAGCATCCAGTATGTATTATTTGGATCTTACCAAAGTTTGTTAAACCAACAGCTGGCTAAACTAAATTAGTTACCTATATATGTACAATCGAGTCAAGTTTAGAGGGAGTGTTCCTCATTAATCTAAAATAAATTTACTATTCAAAGACACTCTTTTACTGACGCTAAACAAATAAAGACACATTTCAACAGATTGGGTCGTTTTATCCTCTAATTGCTAGCCGTCTTCCTACGATCTTAACTTTTCATAATAAGATTAAGATATATCCATTCACTTTCAAATATTCTGTCTCAAACGTTTAATAGAAGGATTTCACTTTTGTATGAGGGATCCCTTAGTTACAAATGAAGGAAGAAATGGAATATTTTATGTAATAACAAATAACTACATATTCTGATATTTCTATAGGTTATCTATTCTATAGGCTATTTGCAGTTGGAAAACTTTGACACAGGAAAATGTTACGTAATCCCTAGAACTAGCTGCCAACTGGCCATTATTTCATAATGTCTGAAGGATGTAAGAAATATAATATACTTGTACTGTGACTGATAGAATATATCCTGTATATTAAGATAAGCCATACTGCTTCTTTAAATTATGATCCAAATTATGTCTGCCGACTTACAACGCTAGCAACCGGGTTTCGATACCCGTGGTAGGCAGAGCACAGATAGCCCATTGTGTAGCTTTGTGCTTAACTTCAAACAAACCAAACCAAAAATCAACTTATCCAATTAAATGTACTTGTTATACTGCTGCAAGTTTCAGACTCCAAATCACTGACATCTAAAAATGTACAATATATCAGAGCTAGTCAGTATAGCTGTACAATGGGAGATTAAAAAGTCTATCTGAAATGCTATTTATATGTTCATCAAAAGAATTTCAAAGTTACGTTAAACCTCCAGAGCTGAAGAGTTATTGGAAATCAATAATCCTAATATTTGTGATCAACTTAACCGATTTTGTTATAGATGTTAGACCTATTGGTTTCCATGCATTTCATAAGCCCTTAGTTTCTGGATTATTTGCTCATTTTAACACTTTTTTCTCCATAGCATTTAAAGTTACCTTGGCGAAAGTTTTAGCTAATCTTTCAATAGTGTAAACAACTGCACTTTGTTGTGAAGCAAGAAATGGAATGAGACCTTTCTTGAAACTTAAGGAAGTTAATAATACTTTAAATTTATGAACATTCGAGAAATGCTAAGTGACGTGATCACTCCCCAAATTCTATAGTTTGATGTTTTAATATATTGAAACTATTGAATTTCATACAATAGTACAGTTACACAATGGCAGCGGAAACATTTTTATAGTAAGTGTGCTCAAACCCAATGAACAAAATTATAACTCCTGTATGGGACGAAACCACACATTTGGTTGGTGATATGTTAAAACACGTTAATAAACGAACATAATATCAATACAATAGTACAGTTACACAATGGCAGCAGAAACATTTTTATAGTAAGTGTGCTCAAACCCAATGAACAAAATTATAACCCCTGTATGGGACGAAACCACACATTTGGTTGGTGTTATGTTAAAACACGTTAATAAACGAACATAATATCAACACGTGTTTATCTATTTAAGTTAAAATTATTTTAGTAACACTTCTTGCTACAATGTTTATAACAGGTTTCTCATTAAACGTATAAAAAAAGAAACCATAAACTAAATCCTTACACTATCAGCATGTGTGCTTTAAGATAGATGATATTGTTACATCCTTAACACCAGAGCTATGCCAGGTTTGTTTTAGAAATATCAAGTTCTCCTTTAAGCATAGATAATTCATAAATAAAAAAACTCAAGTCAAGTGTATATTTAAAACGATTTTTAGAATGAGGAACTAATTTAATTGAAGAATCCTGTTCCCCAAGAACATATCTTATTTCATTATTTACAAATTTACGTGTCCTTATTGGATCTAGCATCTGTCAACAGATCATGAGACGTCGCTATTAGAACTGATTATTTCATTAAAGATGGTGGGAATGAATTTGAAAAAGCAGCTGAGGCCTCGTTAGGTTACACTTATTGCTAATCTAAAATTGGTTTTTAACCAGTAGAATAGGAATCTTACTCATCCTTTCAAAGTGCAAGAGTGTTTCTTTATTCTAGCTTTTTTAATCGAGTCAGACACATTTAAATAAGAGCTTCGTCGCTTCATTGAGGTGATTATTATCAAACAATGGAATTATGAGTAAATATTAATTACGTGAGTCACTATAGAGACCCTGTTCTGGAATATTCCGTGCCTAAAACGCCACTCACCGTGTTCTTGATCTAACGAAGAAAACACTGCCTTAAATTGACACGTCTTGCATTTGTGCACTGTCAAAAGGAAGAATCGCCCAACCGCAATAAAAGAAGGTTCTCTTTCTTGACGCTTGATGGCGGTAACAGCATATCCAGGCGATTTCTCGTTGTCAACCGTGAGAAAAAGCCAATTCTTAGTTGTTAGAGCGTTTAAATCTAAAAGCTGAAATTGAAAATGATAGCAAAAATTAGAAGAAAATACTCTTAAAGTGAGTTATTTACACAATTAATACAAGTAACATAAGAAGTGCTGAAGCAATTTTTAATATTTTATCAATTTGTTTTAAAGAAAGAAACACTATCATACTTGATGTAGAGTACAAACACAACCCATTAGTCGTACCATAACTTACTTTTCGTAAGTTCAAAAAAAAAAAAAAAACATGTTAGAACTTTCTGTTATAATACGTTCAACGTAACATAAACAAAATTATATTGGGACGAATTACTTTTAATATGCTTAATAGAAATAATAAAATGTAATTTTCATAATTGTATACAGGTTATTTCCAAATATAACTAATATTTAACCAACCAAGACGACACTTTCAACATTTAATAACCTGTTAATCACATGTAGTGGTCGTATTCAATTATGCATTAAGAATCTTGATGGTATGTTATTGAGCAAAGCATACATTTAGAAAGTTTCAATATTATACAAGTGAGGCTACTCATACAAATGTGGTATAATCTTATACAAATTGCGATATGTATAGCTGTGTGTTTAGTGTCGTTTAATATTGCTAAGGTTTAAATACGTGTGCAGATATATCACACAAATTTTGCTATTATAAAATGGGAAGTATTGTTTACAAGAAATGAAACACCCACTATCTTCCATTTCACTTTTATGAAATCATTCTAATAAAATTAGTCATGTAATTTTCCCTTTAAACTTTTACTGCTCTTACTACAGTAAATTATAACGTTTATTAAAAAACTTTCTTAAGTTAAATTTGTTCAAAAGCAGTTTCACTATAATCACTTCTTAATTCATTCTGTAATAATCGGTTTTACAGCATACGCGATGATTTGGATTAATTACTCATGTGCATCACCATTTTGGGGTGTATAACAACCACTTTTCTGTAAAGTTGGAAGGCAGATAACACAAGCCTTCTAGCAAAACTGCTAGCAGGAACGGATCTGTTTTAACAGAATCACGAGGAATGAAAGTTTGAACAACCCTGTTTTTCAAGAAAGCAGTTTAATGTAATAATAAAACAAAGTATAGATGACGAAAGAACAGCAAAAAAGAAACAAAAATGCTTTTTATTTCTGTGCACAAAATACAATCAAGTTTCACAAGTATACGTTTTTTTTTCAGAATTTCTCTGAAGCTTCGAAAAAGAAAAATCCACCTGAATAATTATTAAAATTCATTCAAGAAATTAAACATCATTTTGTAATCGACAAAGCGATCTTTTACATATAGATGTAATTCTAATGTAGTAAAAAACGACTTCAAAATAAACGTACAAAATGTTACAAATAAATATTTTTTTTCCATAAATTTTTGAAGTATACTAATTACGTTAAGATATCAATTTTATGTTTTCCTTATATAAACACATTTTATACGTCTTATCGTTTGGCTCACCTTCAAGTAATTTCTAGTTGAGGGATATCTGTCAACAAACACTTTGATTTCACTGCAGTTATCACTCCGAGATCTTAGATCGTCAGATGTTAAGATTTGTTTTTGCACCGGGATACGATAGAAGCAGTCTAAAAATAGGTAAGGTACAGAGCATTATGGAGGCAGCAATATGGAGTTAGTAATTTTAAACAGATTAAAATAATACATGTATGGAAAGTAGCCTTTACGATCGAAGCATACCATGCTGTGCTGAGAAACAGCTATCAAACGTACCGTGACGTGTTGAGGAACAGCTATCAAACGTACCGTGTTGTACTGAGGAACAGCTATCAAATGCACTGGGTTGTGTTGTGGAACAGCTATCAAACGTACTGGGTTGTGTTGTACTGAGGAAAAGCTATCAAATGCACTGGGGTGTGTTGTGGAACAGCTATCAAACGTACTGGGTTGTGTTGTGGAACAGCTATCAAACGTACTGGGTTGTGTTGTGGAACAGTTACCAAACGTACTGGGTTGTGTTGTGGAACAGTTACCAAACGTACTGGGTTGTGTTGAACAACAGCTATTAAATGTACTGTGTTGTGCTGGACAACAGCTATTAAACGTACTGTGTTGTGCTGAACAACAGCTATTAAACGTACTGTGTTATGCTGAGGAACAGTTACCAAATGCACTGTGTTATGCTGAGGAACGGTTACCAAATGTACTGTGTTATGCTGAGGAACAGTTACCAAATGTACTGTGTTATGCTGAGGAACAGTTACCGTGTTGTGCTGAACAACAGCTATTAAACGTACTGTGTTGTGCTGAACAACAGTTATCAAACGTACTGTGTTGTGCTGAGGAACAGCTATCAAACGTACTGTGTTGTGCTGAACGACAGCTATTAAACGTACTGTGTTGTGCTGAGGAACAGCTATTAAACGTACTGTGTTGTGCTGAACAACAGCTATTAAACGTACTGTGTTGTGCTGAACAACAGCTATTAAACGTACTGTGTTGTGCTGAACAACAGCTATCAAACGTACTGTGTTGTACTGAACAACAGCTATTAAGCGTACTGTGTTGTGCTGAACAACAGCTATTAAGCGTACTGTGTTGTGCTGAACAACAGCTATTAAGCGTACTGTGTTGTGCTGAACAACAGCTATCAAACGTACTGTGTTGTGCTGAGGAACAGCTATCAAACGTACGGTGTTGTGCTGAGGAACAGCAATCAAACGTATTACGTTATACTGAGGTAACACTAATAAATCGGCTATTCTCCTATGTAACGTGTTTATAGCAGACTTTAGTAACGTGTGGATTATGTACCTACATATACCATACACAAAGCCAAAATCACTTTGTTTAAAAATATCTCTTTTAATAAGAAACTTCACAATTATCAAATACTTCATCAAGCTCAAATACACAGAAATGTCTTGTTTGTTTGCTTATCGGATATTCGCGCAAAGATACTCAAGGGTTCTATGCGCTAATCGTCTCTAAATTTGAGGCGATAGAGCAGATTAAAGGCAACTAGTGAACAAACAAACGAATAAATTGTAATAAAGATAATTTTTGAATCAAAGTACATTTAAAATGTTTTAAAACAGTAGTAAGATAATTTTCTTGTTTGTTTTGTTAGTAAGTACAAAGCTACACGTTGGATTTTTTGATGCTCCTCTTACCACGAGTGTTGAAACTCGTTTTTTAGCGTTGTAAACCTCCAAACTTACCACACAGCCACTGGGAGTAATACTTTTCTTAAGCTAATAGTTTGTGTTTTCAATATACAAATATATAAAGGAAATACCCTAACATGGATTATTCTAGGGATTTCATATTTCTTCTTTTGTTTGTTTTTGAATTTTGCGCAAAGCTACACGAGGGCTA